CGTGGACGACGTTGGATTGGTCGTCGAGTGCGAAGAGCTAGAAGGAGGTATCAAACACCTCGAGTGCATTGCCATGGACGCCATGCGATGGGGCTCGGACAACAAGGTAGAGTTTGAGATCAGCAAGACAGAGGTACTGGTGTTCAGCAGACGCCGCAAGGTTCTTCAGAAAGCAAGAGATGCGGTCATTCGCATCGGGGAGCAGACCTTTACAATTAATCAAGGCGCGACCAAGTGGCTCGGTTTCTGGCTAGACCCGAAACTATCCTTCAAGACGCACTTCGAGAATCGAATGACGAGCGCCAAAGGAGCTCTGCAACGAGTGGCCAGTCTTAGTAGCAGGAACGGGGGATTGTCCGTCAACCTGATGCGGAGAGTGGTAGTGTCGGCAGTCACATCGGTAGCACTATACGGAGCAGAGGTATGGTGGAGAGGCCAGCAAGACAGATTGAGGAAGCTGCAGGCGCTGCTGAACCGGCAAGCGAGAGCTATTACAGGCTTGCTGGCGTCAACGCCTCTTGCCTTCCTCTGGCGGGAGTCGTGCCTGCCTAGTGCCCAGGCCCTCCTCGACTATCGTCAAACCAGATATGCCGTACGTGCGCTGGGTGCAGAAGGGAACCACCCAACACATCAGCTACTGCCCGCGAACTTCCGTCTCGGCGAGTTGTACCGACACGAGGGCGCCAAAGGCCAGCCATCCAGCACCGGCTGGACGAGACCAGAAAAGATGCACCGATCATATGGTAGCAGACTCGCGCAACAGATCGTCAGACATGTCGCTTACGATGCCGAATATGGCTTCGAGCTCCCCTGCAAGACGGGCCCACCCGAAGCTACGCCGGTCCTTCGGCTGCAAGGCTACCCAAACATGCCCGAGAGAATATTACCTGATAACCTCGGACAGATGACTTTGTTCATCGGTGCAAGGAAAGAGGTCAGCTTCGGCGTGGGAGCCGCGTGGAAAGAGAGGAATGGGTGGAGGACAAAAGCAATATCGCTGGGCAAGTACCTCACAGAGAGCGATGCTGCGTTGTCCGCGATCAACATGGTGATGAAAGATCTTCTTTCGGTACTCTCCAGAACAGGCCACCAACGTGCCGAGATCGTGACGAGGTCAAGGCTCGCGCTGACGAAGGTACAAGGCACCGATCAATGGGTTCTGCCGATTGTCACAGACATCAAGAGACACACCAGGCGGGTGGAGGAAGAAGGTGGCCGGGTAGTCTTGACGTGGCTGCTGGGCGACAGCAACTGCGAAGGTTACAAGGTCGCGACTCACGCCGCGGAGCGGGCGGCCAAGCGAAGACCGAAAGAATTTCGATCGGCGTCACTATCGTATGTGAAGCAAGCCGTACGGGAGAAGTGGAGACCCATGACAAAGATCAACAAAGACATCGAGAACGTAAAGAAGTCAGCCGCTGCGCGCTACCTACAACTCAAATCGGGTCATGCCGTCACAGGTGTTCACTTGTTCAGAATCGACAGAATTGAAGATGCACGATGCTGGTGGTGCGGCCACAGCAGACAGACAGTGGCCCACCTCATGCTGGAGTGCCGGAAGTGGCGACGAGAACGAGACAAGATGCTGCGGAGTTTAAGCACCGACAAGTTGACGATCAGCCCAAGGCGAGACCGGACGGACCTGGAGGTATTGTTCGAAGAAGGCGCCACGAAAGCAGTCCTCCGGTTCATCGAGAACACGGATGTGGGCAAGAGACTGACGGACGAGACGAGCAAGTATGATTTGTGGGACGTCGATCGGCTGGATCAACGGAATGGTGAGGATGCAACGGAGAACGGAGAACGAGGGTAGATGACGTGAATGAGGAAGTACTATTAGGACAAAACCGTAGGAGGGCCCAGAGCCCAAAAGCCGTGGCGGCTCACATAGAGTCGGGACGGCGAGCAGGATTGCAGGATGACTAGTCAACGCAGGAGCAGAAGTTCAAGCACCAGAAGCCGTCTAGAAGATAGCTAGACCTGTCATAAGCTAGATAGCTTGAACACAGTATCATTGAAAAAAAAG